CACTAGGGCTATTATGTATGGATAAGTAATACACAAATTCTTTAAGGCTTCTATATTCCTCATATTATCTTAAATCATTTTTAGATCTAGTAAAACAACAAAGCATTCTCGCTTGTGCATTGGCGCCTGCATTTTTTGATCGATATTTCTATCAACATAGACAACATCAAGAGCATATGATACAAACAGATCTAGAAAAGAAAACGGTTTTTAGGTTCCAAACAATTCAAAGCATTTGAATCCAAACAGAAGAACAAATATGAAAACGTTGATACTCGTGGCATATCAAGCTGAGAGAACACCACAAGCCTCACTTGTCCCTGGTTCAGTTATTCTAAAAGAAAACAGATTTAAGATTCTGGCAAAGAAATACAGCCAATTAACATATCAAAACAATGGAGAAGAAAGACAAGTGAGATCCACAGGGTTGAAATTTGTAGAACATGCAAAGAAAAAAGTAAAATTATATTAAGGGTTGGACGAGCCACAGGGTTGGAAGCATTTAAAATGTACCACGAAAACAATATAATTTTATAAATCTTATATTAGAAGACTAAGTTTATAATAACTTGCTTTGTCTCAACATGTATATTACAATGGATTGTATGAATACAATCTATTTTCTTTTTTAAAAAGATCTACCTCTGCTTCCAATGTTCCTCGCAGTAAATCTCTCAGCTTGCCACCAATTTAAGCAATTACAAACATGTGATGTGGCCAACATCTAAGGAAAACAAGCAGGTACATAGTTCAATTAAACATGAGATGAATGAAATTAACCAAATAGTTAAAGTGATTTATGGATCATGCAAAGAAAGCATAAATACATTTGTTTCCAATAGATGGAATATAAAATATTGTATTAACAAGTTTAATCAATTTTTCCATATGGGCGGTAGAGTAGATAACATACTCGAGGCTTCTATTTCGTTCTGGTGGAGGGGAGCTTAGAGTTGAAGTAGCTTCAAAAGCAATCTCCTTGTCCTTTCTTCTAACTTTAACTGGCTGTGAATTGTTTGAAATTTCATTATTGTCAACATCTTTGCATGTGAAGAGTATAAACATGAAAACAATAAAAAAATCAACTTTATATTTGGGAAAATGCTAACAAAAAGTCAGGTTTGATTTGAGATTGATGAAAATGTGAGAATGAGGAACGCAAGTAGATTACTGATGAGAGAGAGAGAGAGAGAGAGAGAGAGAGAGAGAGAGAGAGAGAGAGAGAGAGAACTAGAATCCTATGTATCAAATTATTATCTCATGATTGAAAGGAATTAACAATATTAAACATGCATGTCAAAACTCCGAACAGTAAGCAAAGATTGGTCATTGAATACCATTGCAGATTTGCAGTCCATTGATCCTCAATGATTTAATGGTAAGGATATAATAGTTTTCACCAATTTATCCTTTTAACACTTTTAAAAAAAAAGACATCTTTAATTTCACTATTAGCATATATTACAGCATATGTGTACCCGCAATATGAAATTCAATTGAAATCCTCATGGAAAGAACAAACATGAGGCTATGTAAAGGACAAGTCTCATAAACATAACTGTGAGCTCTCTCTGATTATATAATCAAACTATGGGTAGACTTTATTAGGCATGTAAGTTGAAGGAAATACATTTCCTCAAAGAGAACATAAAAAGAATTTCTTTTTAAAAAGAGTAGGAAAAGAGGAAAATATCAAGATAGTTTAATTGGGAGGTATAAGATCTATTTTTAGTACATTTATAACCAGTCATATTTTGTTGAAAAGAGGAAAATGGTAAAAGGGCAGTTAGCAAAATCCGAACAAAAATGATTTTAACATTTTCCTCTTCTCAACAAACAACAATTGACTATAAATGTATTGGAAATAGTTCTTGCACCTCCCAATTAGACTATCTTGATTTTTTTCCCCTACTTTTCTAAAAAAGAAATGCATTTATGTTCTCTCTGGGAGTCTCTTTCGACTGGTTTCAAAAGGATGATTGCAAGAAATTAAAAGGTTGACGCATATTAGAATGTTTATATCATTGTTTGAGATTGCTAGTGCACCACAATTTTGAGCATGCATTACAAGTTGCTGATGGTGGGTGCAACATTCTCTAGAAATACAGCAAACACCACTATGAATTGACCGTGCATCGAGTACACTATTGTGCAAAAAAAATGCTCCACATTGTTTGTAACATGACTATTATGCACCTCAAATGTTTTCCTGACTTTGTGAACCAATTTAATGATATAATAGCAAAAGTAAATGATCCCAAACCTTTCTTTAATAAAATTTATTAGAAGTCAAACCTTTTCTTTCCAAACTCAAACCGAATTTATTCAGTGAATTACATTCCTTTCTAGATTTTATCTTCTCCACATTTCAAACCTATCGTCACCAGAAAATAAGAATTACGTCAAAAAAGACATAAACGAAGTTCCCAACTTCATCATTTCAGGTCTGATCGTTAACCCGCGCAAAGTTTTGGTTAAAAAACAATATTTCATTAACATAGCGCTGTATTGCTGAATATTACTCCCAGGTAAATAAATCGACTGTGACCATCTACGCAAACAATTCCCTGAATTTTGTGAGAACTGCAAGAAAAGTAGAGGTGCAAATTTCTACGATGACTGAAACATCAACTGATGTATTCTAGTTACTAATATCTATTAGTCAAGTCAAAAGTGAGCTCAGAATACAAGGACATGAAGTGTACACTTAAAGAGTAAGATAAGAAAAACAAACATTAGAGGGAAAACAGAAAAACAAAAAAGATCTAAAAGTGTCCTATTAATCCGTTATTTGCTGTAAAAAGCCACATTGAAAAAATATTTGTAGAAAAAGAAGACATCAAAATATTTGGAATTAAATAAAATTTGACTCAAGAAAAGGAGTAATACCTACCATCCAGACCAATAATGATTACAGTATTTTGAGCTCCAAATGCAACAGTGTAGCGCGTGGCTTCTGGTAGGTGGAACTGAGCAAATGACCACTCAGAACTAAAATACTTTGGCAGCACACCTGAAATAAAAATGGATGCAAAATGAACATCTTTTTCTCACCAATAACTGCAATGTTCGGCAACAAAAGCAGCAAGCTTCAGTAATAAAAGCAGTACTAACAATAGAGATAGCATCATTAAGCTGAAAGTTTTCCCCTCCCAAAATGAAAGTGTAAAGATGATAATCCAGTGAAATTCATGAATCAGATTTGAGCAGTTGTGCACAGTTGTGCGCTTTGGTAATATAGGAATCAGTTATTTTTACAGTTTCAAAATGATTACGGAGTTGCAGTCTTCCTTAATTTGTCAAGTAATAACAGTGAAACGAACCAAAAATTTCTACACTGTTTAACTTGTTTTGTAGTAATAAATGATGACGATGACCATCACCTTGATCATAAGCGAGAGAATGCATTAACAAAACAGTTTGTTCCAGAGAAGCTCTAACCAAAAGAACAGTGCTATAACTCAACCAAATTCTTCTTTATGGAAACTAAATGCATGTTGATAGCCTGAGATAACTAATACTAAGGACATCCCTTACGTTCAAATGAGAAGTATATCTGAACTTTTAATTCATTATTCTTTGATCAGTTTAATAATATAATTAGTTTTAAAGTGACAAGGTCAGAAAAAGTAAAATAAAATAAAATAAAATACATAACAAAAGATTATCCACCAATGTTTTATGCAGATTTCAGACTTGCAAGCTAGATCCGAGCCAAGTACATCGGGATTCAGAATTTTGTATTAAACTAAGAATATGAAGAAGAAAAAAGCTACATTCTTTGACCATAGACTAAAAGTCAGACACTCAGAAGTTCGGTAATGTTTGACGTGTCATATGCTCATGAATGGCTACTAAAGATTTTTGTAGAGTTTGGTTCTCTCAACAACGCAGGCATATGAGAAAATTGTTCAAACTAACAAGAGTGAGAAGCGGCACTAAGAGAAAGCTACATCCGGTTCGTTAAAAGTTTTCATCTCTTTAGCACTCAACAAGCAGCCAACAGAAAGAAAAAAATAGTAAATCGCAAAGAATATGGAGTCTATATACACATTAAGGTCAATCATCAAACTGACTGACATGCTCAGGAAATACTGTGGATTAGATGAAGAAATAAAAGAAGAAAGAAACTCTTTCACAGGTTCTGAAGGCATTTTTCTTTGATTCTAAAAGAAAAACAATCAGAGGGAACAATATTCTTTACCCTTCATAAAAGATAATGATGAGCTACACAAGGCAAAGGAAAACAACATTTGGTAATTACCATTAATGGCAGTGGCATGAGCACATATCATGTTCACAATGACTATTTCCTTTACCAAATTGTAATTATTTTGATATTTATTTTGGATCACTTCATAATCATCGGAAGTTTGTGTGGGTGGGTGGGTGGTTCTAAAATTTGGCCTAAATTCAACTTTTCCTCAATTTGCAAATTATACCATTAATTTGAATGACTAATTTCAAATAACTTAAGAATTGAGTTACCTAATAATAATTTCAATGCTTTAACTTTGGTTTTCTGCAGTTTTAACTTTGATTTCTCCGTTAAAAAAAAGTTTTAAGATAGTTTTGTGCAAAAGCCCCAAAGTTCATGGTGGTTTTGTGAAGTTTTCCCCTAATAAAATTATGCCAGGTCATAATGCATGATATCCTCCTCAACAAATCATACCCAAACATGAAATATCAGGAAAATCAAATGATTGACGCCCTGTTTCATTCTCGAAGAACGAAACATGTGTCCTTAACAAATCATATCCAAACATGAATTATTCAGAGATTAATATCCGTGATATTTGAATATATTTGGAACGTAGTGCACTTGTTTGATCAAGCATAAGCGTGTGATTTTCCAAGGCCTAACAAGGTTTAGAGTGAATACGATGAAGAAGGCAAAAGGTTAAAGGGGGTTGCTTCAGCTATTAACAACCTTACAAAATGCATTATGTACGTTATGTAAGATTGAATATTCACATAAAGTTCAAGGGGATTGATTTTGCTTTTGAGAACATGGAACAGTGTAGTTTATTGAATCATTATTAACTGAGGACTCTGTTTTCATTTATTGAGAAAGGATGAGTAATAATTAAGCAACCACAAGTAACAAAACATTGTTCTAGATTTAGAAAAGTGTGTCATTGTACGTGCACATTACCAAAGAGAAATAAATAAGCACTAAATTATATTAACTTTATGAAATATTATTTGTAGAAAATAATGGGCAACAATAAGAGGCACCTTAAACTTATGCAACTTGAGGATTTAATATAGAAGGATAGAAGACTTACTTTAAGTATGGAAGAGTCATGTTATTCAGCAATGATGGATTTATATCTACAAATTCCTTCCATTCGTCCAGATCTATCTTTCCATCACCCTTCTTATCTGACTCCATGAAAGTCTGTAAAAGAAAAGCAATAATTGAAATCCTCGAAAAACCAATTGTATATGTCACTATGTTGCGGCAATAAAATGCGAACAGAAAAGACAAATCCTCACCTTATCGACTATTTGATCAACAACATCATCAGAAAGGCATAAATCTGATTCACTGAAAAGAGCCAGCACCATCTCTTTTAACTGTTGAGAGCAATAAAGAATACAAGGTTACTTTCATAGAATGACTTCATACAAAATAGAAGAAGATCACAAAGTAGCCAGTTAAGATTCTACCTCGACACGTTCAAAATAGCCAGTGCGCCTTAAGTCATTCAGTCTAAATGCAACTGCAACAAAGTTTTCATTTTCTCTTAAAGTTTTAATACGAAGTTTTTGTTTTGTTTTTTTATTTTAATACGAAGGAAACCTTCGCTATGTCTCCACACCGAAGCTGGAGTTCGATCTCCAACCCTTATTATCAAGTAAAACCCAGTCGTAGATTGTTACATCTCTAGGCATTTTTTCAATCCAATTTCAGTTAATACCCTTAGGTATGATTACAAAATCTAAAATTGTAATTGTCATTATCTCACAAGAGCAAGTTCTAAAAACTATCAAAGCTCGGAATTGCACACTAATTCAAATAAAAACTCCAAATTGAAACTCATATAAATCAATCAAATTCAAAACCCAATCGCAAAGTATCAGCTTTAAAACAAAACTAAAAAAATACAAAAAACAAAAACCAAGTAACCATCAACGATCGCATAGGAAACCCTATCTTCGAAACTGAGAACAACATCAAACGGGCCATCAGCAACATTATCCTGCCAGCGCTGAGGCGCTAGATTCACACTCATATTCCTCTTCAACATCGGCAAGATCCCATTACGCTTGTACCTAAAAACTCCACAAAAGTCCCAACTTTACAATGGTAAAAATAGTAAATACGAAAAAATGTAGGGGGGAAAATCGGCTTTCCACTCACAAATCAGGGTTCTTGCGGAGGAGGTCATCGTACATATTGTGATAAGGAGTTCCGAATTCGTAGACGTTGGGCTCTCGGTACGATGGACCGGGGAGCTTAACGTGTGCCCCAGTGCCGTAGGAGGAGACGTCGAAGCCATGGCGCTGGAGGAGGGAGTGGGCTTCCATGCTTCGATTCTAGTTCGACGTGCAGACCATTGCGTTGGGTTTTCTTTTGTTTGATTTCGTTAGGTTTTCTTTTGTTTTCTAGGGTTTTTTGATGAATTTGGGGGAGTGAGGTTTTGAGGAGACGGGAGACTACCATATTTTAGGGGTGATATAATTTGGGATTTGAGTTTTTTGGGATTTGGTGGGAGATTAGAGGAAACCCTGGAGGAGAGAGAAAGACGAGAGGCCGCAGGGGACTCCCGGGTTCGGCTGTCGTCGATCTACAACTTCTCTTGAAGTTTTCACTTTTCTCCGATTTCTTCTGCTTTTTTTCTTTTTCCGCCATTAGGTTTTTTTTGCTGGAGAGGGTGTTGAAGATTTTTGAAGGAGATGAATGAAAAGAGGCGATAGATACAGTAAAGGGCTTTTGATTTCTGATTTTGGAGTAACGTAAGAAAAATAATAAAAAATGATAATTCTGTTAAATTTATGATAGATGAAGAGTATTTTAGGGTAGGAAAAGTTTTTCTCATACTCCCTCTTTTAAAGGTAGAATGATCCTTTTCTATATCATCTCTTTTATGTAAGTCATTTTCCATATCATCAGGACGAAACTAGATTTTGAATAGGTTTTTCCTTATGCTTCTCGATCCTATTTTTCAATGCAAAGGTATAGATTTTAGATCAAAATTCTCTCGAATTAGATGGTAATCGAAGAAGTTCCTATTACCGTAATCCTTACTCTGTACTCCAATTTCAAGGACGAAGTGAAGCCACATAAAATTTCCACTCATCACAATCTCACTTTTTAAAAGAGTAGTTTTAAAGAGAACAAATTTTCACTGTAGCCACATTTTCACTTTTTATTACCAAAATCGACTGTAGCCCATTTTATTTACCGGAATCGACCCGGTTTCTCGCCACGTCAGCGCGTTGGCGAGAAAGTGGGTCGATTATTTTTTAATCGTCTTCGTAAACAGTCGGGGTTGCCAACCCCGACTGTTTAGTTGATCCGCTGGCCAGACCCTTAACTAATTGGTCGGGATTGGGAACCCCGACCAATTCGTAATGGTCCCATTTCGAATTGGTCGGGGTTCCCAACCCCGACCAATTAGCAGAGCCCAGCCCCGCTGGTTTTAACCAGTGCACCAATTGGTCGGGGTTGGGAACCCCCGACCAATTAGCAGAGCCCAGCCCCGCTGGTTTTAACCAGTGCACCAATTGGTCGGGGTTGGGAACCCCGACCAATTCGAAGCCCATTTACGCCAAGTCAGAAAGTAGTCGGGGTTGGGAAACCCGACTACTTTCTGGGCCCATATATAAGCCACCGAACCACCGAACCCTCTCTCCCTTTACTCATTTCGTTTCTCCGCCTCCCTCTTCTCTCTTCCGTCGCCGTTGTCAGAAACCAAGCCTCAGATCTGAGGTTTCTTCGGCCGAAATTCAAATCAAAGTTTATCTAAACTGATTTAGGTAATTTCTTCTACTCCTCTCCTCTTTTAACATGTAGAAATCTAGGATTTTTTTCTCAAAAATGATAAATTTCTAGGGTTTTCATTCATAAATGAATTTCGTGGGTTTTATCGCTGAAATTCGTTTGTATGATGATTGTTATTAATGTAATTAACTTTTAGGGCATAGAATGTTCAATTGTTCAATTTTAGGGTTTAGGATTTACAATTTGGGAATTAGGGTTTTTGGTTGAAATTATATGAGATTATTTGTATATTAATTTAATTTTTTATATTTAAATGATATAATTTTCTTTTGAATAGGTTGAGCAATATGATTTTTATTGCTTGTTCTTATGGTGGACAAATTAATTATGGGATGAATAATATGCCAATGTA